TAAGATGCCTTCTGGCTCAAACGCTCAATTGAAGTACGCTCAAGTTCAAAATTTAGATTGTGGGAAAATGTAAAACAAGCCGACAATGCAAAGCTCAGGAAAGAAGGCCTCAAATTACAATTGGGGAGTACAGAGATTTTAGTGGTGTCTGTGGGCCAGCCTCCAAGCTAACCCCGAACCCCAGTGAATCTTGCCTCCTGGCATTCACACCCGTGCATAGTCCCCTCCCATATTGAATAGGGCTGACTCATTTAGACAGTAGGCTATTGCAGAAGGGACTGAGAGGGACTTTTGAGGCAAGGTCCTAAAAGACATTGTGACTTTCACCTTACCCTCTTGGATTACTCTGGAGGAATCCAGCCATCAAGTTCTGAGGCTACTTAAGCTGTGGAAAGATCCACATGAGGAGGAACTGAGGACAACAGCCAGCATCATGTGAGAGAACTGTCTTGGGAGCAGGCCCTCCGGTGCCAGTCAAGGCTTCGGATGAGCGGAGCGTCAGTGAGCACCTTGACTGCACTTCATCAGAAACCCAAGCCAGGATCGGCCAGCTAAGCCATGCCTGAATTCCTGAACCACTGAAACAGTGTGCGCTAACAAATGTTTATGCTTATGTTAAACCACTAAACTTTGATACATAGCAATACAGAGCTGTTACAATGTCTATTAGAAAAGTGTAGTTGTACTTACAGTGTTTGTATAACATGCACTGGTTGTTTCACCTTCACTCCTTATTCACTCACTCATCAGAAAATTTATTGAGAATGTTTTTGTACCAGGCACTGAGCCAGGTAGTAGAAATTCAGGGGGAAAAAAAAAAGTTTCCTATCTTCAAGACGCTCATAATCTGGGAAGTTTGGGCCAGGGTGAGTGGTGCCAAACTTTAAATGCTTGTAACAGATGCCACTTTAATATCCCTGCTTTAATATCACATTTTCTCCTTCTGCCGGTGTTCTGAGTACATAAACTTCGGCTGTGACTTCAGTGGGTGAAGAGAATGCCATGTGATTGTTTTGGGTTTTAATAAGAGTGATCAATATCATCAGCTTCCCCTTTAAATGCTAATGATGCTCTAACACAGCAGATGCAGACATACAGTACACTGCAGATTAAAATTAGGCACAACATTAAATTGCTTCCACATAGCAAAGGAGCCAGTTTGGACATCTTCATAAACATCCACAACCAGCTGACAAATCTTGAATTGTCCCTGCATCAACACTAAGCCTTCCCCAATCTCAGCCAGGCAGGCATCATCTCGCATCAGGAGTGTGCCCGGTGTTCTGGGCACAAGAAGGGCAAAGCTACCAGGTCAGACTATCAGTCACACCGGACTGTAGACAGCACTAGGGTTAGGAGCAATTGATATTTGAAGGGGAGCAGAATTTGTCACCCTAAAATATGCCTCTTTGGCATAAGGATTGTTTTAGGCTGATAACTTGTAAGAAATTGAAGACCCAAGAGAAGCTCTGCAAGTGAGTAGAAGTTACCCTCGTGTAAGAGACACAAGGATATCCTTTGTAGAGGTATTTCCCTCTCTGTACCTGGAAGAGACAGATGACCAATCTCTAGGAACTCTCATCAATGGAGAAGGCGATGATTTAAATCTGTAAAACAGCCTCACCCTTGTTTACTAGGCTTTCCCTGGTCACCTCCCAGAGTGGGTTCCCCCACCCACTCACCCACCAGCATCTTATTTTGTCTTTAGATGGAGATGGTGTTTAAGGTGATGGCTTGGGCCATTTCGGGGAGTTACTCAGTCTTCCTGGCTCTTTCCCATGTATACAGGAGGTGCCCATATTATCAAACTTGTTTGTTTTTCTCCTGTTAATCTTTGTTTTATTATGGGGGGGGGGTCTCAGCTAAAAACCTAGAAAGGTAAATTATTTTTTTCCTTCCCAATATATTCATTAAAAAACCAGAACTTTAGGCCTCTGGAAAAGAAAGCCATATAGTGAGAGTCTAGATCTAAAAGGACAATGTCTAGGGCTGGCTGAGTGGCGCATTGGTTAAGAGCTGGCTTGGGATGCCAGAGGGCCCTGGTTCAGATCGCACTTATGAGGGCCGGTGACACTGCCCTCTACAGCTAAGATGTTGAACAACAGCTCAACCTGGAGCTGGGCTGCCCTGAGTCACCGGAGATGGCTAGGCTGCAGCCCCTGCGGCAGTGGGTTGCCATGGGCTACCGTGTGTAGCCAGCGGCCAGTGTGAGTGGCCAGCAGCCGCTGTGAGCGGCCATCCAGAGGCCGGAGACTGATCTGCCTCGCCTGGGAAGAGCGCAATGATGGTGCCAACTTGGGCCAGTGAAGCAACGTCCTCCACAACTAGACTGAAGAACAAAAAGGACAGCAACTTGTCTGTTCTCCTTCTCCCAAGTCCCCAGCGCTGTTCCCCTCCCCCAATTCCCCAATAAAAAAAATCTAAAAAAAAAAATAGCACTCTTATAAAAGGACAATGTCTATGTGTGAATTTCTTGAATATACATAGTATTTCTATTCTTTTTTATTCCTGTGACAAATGTTTATTGAGAGCCTGCATTTGTAGTGCTATACTAGGTATAGAAATTCCTTATGATGCAAGGGGCTGTTTCTTGGGAAAAACATGCTGGCCTTTCCCTTGAGGGCTTGGTATACCCAGAATCTACTCTCAGGGATAAGTCCCAAAACTTAAGCTGTGTCTCAGAGTTGTGTTCAGGGGCCAACTTACAGTGGCAAAACTCACAGGAGACTGATGTATAAAATCAGAATGGCAATTATTTTAACACTAGAAACATAACTCTAAAGTAGATTAGAGACTCCTGTTAAGGTCACTTAATGAGCATGGATTAGAACAACAATTTAGATGATCTAATGGTTTGTTAGTTTGATTAATCAATTAATCAATTAAAACATTCAATCAGCAAATAGACTGAGTACCAACTATGTGTTAGAGATACAATGGTGATGAAGATAGGCATGACGCCTGCATTGATAGAGTTGATGAATAGTCTTCAGTTCTCGTTTCCATATATGTGATTATGTGATTATTTAGGTTAGTTCTATAGAATTGCTAATCCAGTGACTTTGTGCAAAGAGCAAAAAACATCCTGCTTTGTCTGGACCATGTCTGGAACAATGACTGTCTCTAAGGTAGCAAGTGATATATATATAGCAGTTCCAGGCTTGATCAGAAGAATATTTAGTGACCACCAAATCCCCAGATTTAGAGGTACCCAACCCAAGACATACTTCTTAATTTGTTCTTACTAAATATTTTTTTTCTTAAAATATCCTTTTTTGGGGCCGGCCGAGTGATGCATTGGTTAACAACTGGCTTGGGACACCAGCTCTGTGCAGCAGGGCCCTGGTTTGGATCCCACATGAGGTCCAGTGACACTGCCCTCTACAGCTAAGATGATGAACAACAGCTCAACCTGGAGCTGGGGTGCCATGAGTCGCCGGCAGTGGCATACATAGGCTGCAGCCCCTGCTGCAGTGGGCTGCCGTAAGCTACCGTGCGTAGCCAGCAGCCAGCGAGAGCAGCCGGCAGCTGGTGTGAGCTGCCAAGAGCTGCCGTGAGTGGCCGTCCAGAGGCCGGCGACCGATCTGCCTCACCTGGGAAGAGCACAATGATAATACCAACATGGGCCAGTGAAGCGACGTCCTCCACAACTAGACTGAAGAACAAAAGGACAGCAACTTGTCTGTTCCCCTTCCCCAAATTGCCCAGAGCTGTTCCCCTCCCCGAATTCCCCAATAAAATCTTTTAAAAAAAAATCCTTTTTTTGGGGGGAGTAGTAATTAACCTCAGCCTCCTGCAAGTTATGTAGTTCCTCTTGTTGGCAAATGATTGGATTTGATGGAAAAGAAACCTGGTTAATTGTTGCTTTGTTCTTTTTTTAAAAAAATTGTTGCTTTGTTCTTGATTTACATTCACCTTTCAACCTGCCAAGCAGCTTTTGATGAATAATCATCATTAAGAAAAAAGAAAAAGAAAGAACATCCAACTCTCATTATTTTTTTACAACCAAACAACAGACACTAGATGATCTTATTTTGGTTTTGACTGGGAGCATTGATGCTAACAAGTGTTTTTCCATGAGATATTAAAAAGTGGTCAATTTTGTGGACTGTTGGGATAATCTCTTTGTGGTCGGCTAGTACACTAAATAGGGCTGAGGTCATTAAGTCACCTTACTGTATCAGCTTGGATTCTCCAATCTGTGGACCAAGAAAGTAAGTAGGGAAAAACAGCATGAAACAAGCGATCGTTTACATAGCACCTTTTAAAGCAGAGTCTTCAATAATTCTCCAGGACGCACATTTTGTTTAATAATTAAAGCCATACTTTGTGTTCCTGTAAGAGTGGCTCAGTTAAGGCCCTGTGTTTAGCCACGTATCCAAAAATTCTAATCAAAGAAAATATTTTGTTGCTTATTTGGAAGCAGCATGCCATGAAGATAGCATACTTTGTATTAGTCCACTTCTCTTTAAATTTAAACGCCAACAAAGGACAAGAGGAAAAAAATAATTGAAAACAGACTGTGGTTGACATAAGCTTAGTGAGAAAGGATCACAGTGGAGCTTAAAACTTTGGAAAAGTTATCCATGATGAAAAAGAGTACCTCCCCATCTGATTTCATCATTTCCCATTGCTTTTGCTTGTAAATGCAGATGGCAAACAATAAGACTTACAAAATCGAGTTGTTGAATCAATGTTTAGATTATAGCTTCCCTTGTAAATAAAGATCATTTCCTATAACCTTGACTCTAACGCTACCCAAATATAGTTTTCCCCACCAGGCCCAAGCACTGTATTAGAGCAGGGCAGCCACTCTGGGAACACACACATGTACATGATGACTGGTTTCTATTAAAAGAGAACTCAACCCCACAGAGTTATCAATGTGCCATTTGGATTTCTGTAGAGCCTTGAGAATCCTATGCAGAGAAAAAGACACTTGATATTCAGGGTGAGTGAATGTTGAACAGAATTTCAGAATATATTGAAAGTAACGTTTTTTTATTTGACATGTAATGAGTTTGTTGCCACCCGACTTTTTGATTTGTAAAATATGAAGAATTTTGCAAGTTGGATCCCACAATTCCTTTTCTAAGCTGCAGGCACTTTCCTCCCACCCGCACTGTTTACTTCTTTACTCCCAGCTGCTTACAGCTTTCTTGCTGCAAGGATAGTATTTACTGTCTTGCTGGAACAAGGATGTTGGTAATTTTAAATTTCTCTGGCTTTTAGTTTGTGACATTATTATCCTGCTCTGTGTCTGTTTTCTTACCGATTTTAGATTTCTGACATCCCAAGATGTCTTTATGGACTTGTTTTTCCCTCTGTGCTCCTCCTTTGGTAAAATGCAGGAAATAATGTTTAAAAGCAGTCCCCAAAATCTCTTAGGCAATTAGGTTTCCGATAAGTCTTAATGAATGAGTTATGCATCAACATGAAGTTTAATCACGTTTTTTATTGTCTAAAAAATAACAAGCCAAATTAGCTCAGCTTTGACCATGATAAAAACCCAAATGTGTTACTAAAATAAATACTAACCAACAGTGTCGAGACTAGGGTGATATGCTTGCATTGGCCACAAAACTTAAGGGGGGGCATCAAAACAAAAAACACCTCAGTAATCAAGATAAATGATATTTTAATGCAATTAAAAAAAAAAAGAAAGTTAATGCAAAAAATTCATGATGAACAAAATATTAGAATTTTGAATAAAAACAGGATTGCTAACAGTTCCATATACTTTACTTTTATTACATATACTTTTATCGGAGCCTTACACTCCGATAAAAGAGAAATCAGTAATATTGATCCTGTCTTTATCTAGGATTTTGATTTTTTAATGTTTTTTGCATTAATTTTCATTTATTTAAATATTGCATTAGAATATTATCTTGATTAATGAGCTTTTGGGTACCCCCTTAAATTCTGTACCCAAGACAAGTGCCCCACTTAACCTAACCCTAGTTCAGGCCCTGCTAACCAGACCGGCAGTGGTTAGGGTAATATGATGGTATATCCCCTCCTCTAAAAATGTTAATTCAGTGGGAAAAATATGTATAGTTATGATTAAGTCAAATTACATTCATTTGGTCAACTGACATCCATAATTTTAGCCCTGGTTTGGCGGTAGTCTCAATTAGAAGGTATTTCCTAAATCTAATGATGGAAAAGTTGTCTTTTCATTAATTTCTTTAGACATCGTATTATCAAAATCCATTACATTACCCCCCCCCCCAAAAAAAAAAAGCATGCTTAGGAAAACTCATCTAATTCAATTCATCAAAAGGTTCTCCTTCCGCGGTAGTTGCCTCTGGCTCTTTCTCGGTTAGTCTTGGCAGGAGAGGGCCTGTGGGGCTTCTTCCGGTATTGCACTTTGGTCCATCCTCCTTCGCTGACTTTGTTCTCCTCTTCGCTGGCTCCTGGGTCAGTCTCAGGGTGCAAAGGCATCCCTGGTATCGTCCTGGATTGATGGTGGTCATTTGGGCTTCGCTTGAAGTCAAGTGACTGGTGCGTATTGAGGGCTGACTGATTAATTCTGTAGAATTTCCCAGAATACCTCTCTCTTGAAGGAGTGGAAGGCTGACTCTTTCCACTGTACCTTCCTCTAGGAGAAGAACCGAGTGACACACTACCACGTTCATACTTGTTCCTACTTCTACCTGAGTATCGAGCGCTCTCTGAAGCGTTGTCAGTGGTAAGACTGGAAAAACCACTGTCTCTGGAGTTGAGATGTAGAGAAGAGAAGTTTTTGGTCAGTCCATACTGCGTAGGAGAGGAGCTTCTGGATTGGTTTATAGGGGTAATCTGTTGGTACTTAATGGGCACCTGGGTCCGCCTCACAGCAGCTGCGTAGGAACCCTGGTCACTGAAATATGGGTAGAATTGTGACCCCAGAATAGGATTGCTTTGGGAGCGTTGTAAAGAAGTGTTGGATGCAATCTGTCGCATCCTCAGAGTGTCTAACCACTGGCACTCAGCACCTGCAGAAGAAACGGAAATGAGCGTCTTTTAGGCCCCAGCAAAGCTGCATGCCTAACTCATAAGCCTGACTCCAGATAATTCAAGCCTGTTTGGGATGCTCTAAGCTTTACCATTCATAGAAATTCGAGGCTAGGTATAAGGACATTTCCTTTATTATTATACATACTTTAAAAAAAAAATAAGGGCATTTATACTTACTGAGATATGCTGTATGTTTGACATTGTTCCATATACTTTACTTACATTATCTCATTTAATCTTCCCAATAATCTTCACAGGTAAATACTAATAATCTTATTCTATCAGCTTGGGAGATCAAGTAGTTGGCCCAAGGTCACTCAGCTAATAGTTCCAGGTCCTTCTCATCTAAATCCCACCTTCTTCTTACCTAGCCACGTTGTCACTTCTAGAAATTGCTGTTTAAGTATGTTTGGATGGCAGGGGCACATTTAGTAAACAAAAGGCTTTTTGCAGCCAGCACTTTTAAATCCTCAAGAACCCTAAATGCAAAACAAAGAAATTGAGACAGCTAGGGACTGCTTGGAAGAAAAGTTCGTATTTCCAGAAGAGAGAGATTCCTGAGGTTCAGGATTAAGACATTTTTTTTTCTCATAAAAAATGAAGCTTCTTGAAGGCCAGCCGAGTGGCTCAGTTGGTTAAGAGTGCAAGCTCTGAACAACAGGGTTGCCGGTTGGATTCCCACATGGGCCAGTGAGCTGCGCCCGAGCTGAGCTGCCACTGAGCTGCCAATAGGTGGCAGGATGGCTCAGCTGGTGAGAGTGCGTGCTCCTAACAACAAGGTTGCCAGATGGATTCTCTCATAGCATGGTGGGCTATGCCCCCTCGCAACTAAGATTGAACATGGCACCTTGACCTGAGTGGCCGTGTGCTGCCAATGGGCAGCCGGATGGCGACTGGACTTGGAGCTGAGCTAGCTGCGCCCTCCACAACTAAGATTGAAGGACAACAACTTGGCTGTTCCCCTTCCCCAATTCCCCAATAAA